AAAAAAAACATTACACACACTACCATGTATTTGACGCACACACACGTGCTTACAATATAATTATTGTCAAACTTTTGTTCTTGACGTCTGTGGTCAAATTGAGAATCGACTAAATTTAATATTGTTTGTCTTTATTAATATTTTTCTACAGTGTAGTCTTGGCGAAATTTGTAATTATAGAAGTATAATACTCTTTGAAAACAGAATCATAATAATGTACAAACTTACAATTTCAATTAATTATAGTCGAATTTCGACTACTGCGGGACCACTAGTCATAACTTAATTCGCCAAAATTACATAAAAGTCAACTACACACTTGTACATTTCACAGACACGCGTTTTGTGTTGGCTTTGAATCAAATTTTGAATTTACACACCGCATGAATATGCTAATTTAACCATACAAATATTTAGTTTTCGTTTGAAATCGTGTAAGCTCAACTAACTTGTTCACTAAATAAAGTTTCACAATTAAAACTCTGCTAACATAAATTCCTGAAAATAAAATAGTTTTCATAACATCTAATAAATGAACAACATGAGCTCTTTTTACTTCAATAGGCAATTGAATATTGAGTACAATTCGTTTTTACTCGTTTAGAGAAAACAATAATCTATCTACGTGATCTCTTTGAACTACGCCAAATATGTTTTAATTGAGGCGTAAAAAGGCTTCATCTTGAACGATATTGGTTAGCTCCATAACCCACGTGCCTGATTTAGCTTTTTTATGTTTGAAAGATTACTGGTGGCTTGGAGGCTTTTCCAGTTTCACCAGGACAAAGAGGCAAGTAAAGGCTCAGCCAGAAGTTGTGGGAATTGCTAACAGCTGCCTCAGCGCCTCCGATTTAGCTTAATGCTATCAACTTGTATAATGCTATTGATTTTTCCACTTTAAGCCTACGTATTGATCTGAATTAACCATGCCTTCGCACTCAAACTTCAAACATAGCAGTAGCCTATTTTATTTCCTCGTAAAACGTTCGTATGTCGTCTAAATTGGAAAGTCGTGATCGGTCTGGTTGTAACCATGTTTTACGAGGGTGTTAACTCACGCCTGATATCAATATTTTGGCGGGTTTGATTTAGAAGTATTTCGCTGTTTATATACAAAATGGATCCTAGCAGTGATTCGACATTTTGGGTGTATTTTTAATAATATATATTCTGTATGCTATATATATGACGGTAGGCAGCGGCTTGACTCTGTCACTGGCTTGCTGATGTTCATGGGCAACGGTAACCACTCACCATCAAGTGGGCCGTATGCTCATCTACCTAGAAGAGCAATTTTAGACCGTGAATTTTCACGGTCTCGTTACATACTTTAAAGAAATATCAAGTAAAAGAAGCATTACTGACGGCCGTGCAACGACATAGTGTTCAATAAATAGTCATTGTCCGCTTGAAGCTAACCGTAATTCTGTATTTATTCGTTTATAAATATTTTTTGAATTTCATTAAATCATTGTTAATCACCCGGTAAGTATTAAGTCATGTCTTCTTCAATCCCTATTTCGTAAATTCGCAACAAAAAAAAAACCTCTGAAAAAATGGTCCTTCGACTCACATCACGTATTCTTTTACGTGGATGTGTTCTTTCGTGATTTACAGAACAAAAAATATATATCTCGCATCTGAGAATTATGTCTTGAAATTTGTTGCGTTGCTCCTCTCGTATTTCCTCCTCTGATGTACGTTTCATTGTGAAACAACAGTGAAAGCTTTTATAAAACAAGCAATGAATCATGCGTCGCGTTAAAGCGAGGTCAAACGTCAGTATTGTCTTGTATCGTGTTACAAAGATAAATTAGGATACACAAAAAAAATCCTTAGACCTTCACGAAATAGTTTGATAATACATTTGAACAAGATAAAAACAAAGTGTGGGGTCGTGGGACACTTGATAACTTTGTAAAGTAGTATTTTTTTTTATCAATAAAAAAATCATAATAAAATATGTATACCCGTATAATTTTATAATAAGGAACTTCGTTCGAAAACGACACTTTGCGAGACTACACATTAATAAAAAATCTATAAAAAATAGTGAACAGGTTACAATTCAACTTAACACAATTAACTAGTCAGGTCATAAGTATTGTCACACAGTAAAAACTTTTCTTTTAGAATGCTCTGGCCACAAAAAAAATTACTGAATTAGAATTTCGAATTGTTCATGAAAATAAAAATGTATACTTTTAGAATTTTACTCATTTTTAAATATGGAGTGGACGCTTAAAGAATACCGTGTTGCAGTTATTGCGTTGCATCGTTGCGGCTACGCGCCAATTCAAATTTTTATCATACTGAAAAATTTGAATATAACCAAAAGATTCGTTTATCGTACCATCAAACAATACAATGAAGACTCTAGTGTAGATGACAGGTCAAGAAGTGGTCGCCCTCGGTCTGTTAGGACTCCAGCAGTGATAAAAGCTGTGAAGGCGCGAATTCAAAGAAATCCCAAATGTAAGCAGAAACTGTTGGCCCTTCAGATGGGGTTAAGCAGAACCACGGTGAAAAGGGTGTTAAATGAAGACTTAGGGCTTCGGGCATATCGAAGAAAAACAGGACATCGTTTGAATGCTCGTCTAATGGACCTGAGACTGAAGAGATGCCGCGCTTTGTTGAAGCGGTACGCGGGAAAAAAATATCGGGAAATTCTTTTTTCGGATGAAAAAATTTTTACCGTAGAAGAGAGCTACAACAAACAAAATGATAAGGTGTACGCACACAGTAGTGAAGAAGCGAGCAACCGTATTCCGCGTGTCCAACGAGGTCATTTTCCATCCTCGCTCATGGTATGGTTGGGAGTTTCTTATTGGGGCTTAACAGAGGTACATTTTTGTGAGAAAGGTGTAAAAACGAATGCAGTTGTGTATCAAAATACAGTCCTGACGAACCTTGTGGAACCTGTTTCTCATACCATGTTCAATAACAGGCACTGGGTATTCCAACAAGATTCGGCGCCAGCTCATAGAGCGAAGAGCACACAAGACTGGCTGGCGGCGCGTGAAATCGACTTCATCCGGCACGAAGACTGGCCCTCCTCCAGTCCAGATTTGAATCCGTTAGATTACAAGATATGGCAACACTTGGAGGAAAAGGCGTGCTCAAAGCCTCATCCCAATTTGGAGTCACTCAAGACATCCTTGATTAAGGCAGCCGCCGATATTGACATGGACCTCGTTCGTGCTGCGATAGACGACTGGCCGCGCAGATTGAAGGCCTGTATTCAAAATCACGGAGGTCATTTTGAATAAACTTTAGTGTCATAAGAATCTATGTTTTGTTAAGTTCATTTTGGTATATGAATGGTTACAATGGAAAGGTTACATAATGAATAAACTTGTTTCAATTATTTTACATTAAACATGTGACAGAATTTATGACCTGACTAGGTATTTCTGTGCATAAATTTACTGTGAAATTAATACACGAATCTCCTGATGAATTCAAGAGCCAATCATAATGTGCTTGCATAATGTATTGAGCTAGTCTGACCAAAGTATAGTGTATGCGGCATTTATCAGAATATAGTCTAAAAACGACGCTATTTCACGACTAGGATGGGTAGTATTCATATTCATGTTATTTCACACTAATTGAGAAATTTCTAAACTATGACAAAATAAAAAAATATATAATACAACACTCTATAAAATAATTAAAACTAATATGATTTCATTTATCGTTCTGTTAATTCGATTCTCGTTAATATCAAAATAGGTACAATAGGAAGCCGCTTTCAAAGCTAAAACTCAACAAATGAGTACACGAAGTCTAATATAATATTAACTAAGCATAAATAATATTGTATTTTTTAATTAGATTAAAAAAACAATCAAATGTTTTTTTAGTGTTATCGTGTATCAATAATAACAAGATCACAGGATTGCATAAAATATTTCCTCAAAATTTTCGGTCAGTACTATCTGTTTTATTGAACACACTAACAAACAACATTTAGAAATTGAATTCAGCATAACAGCTTAACATGAACATGCTATACGAGCCATTAGTTCTCCATCGTAAAAACAAATAACTTATTTTTAAATGGTAATTCTTTAAAAACTGACATGTTGACCAGAATTTGAGTATCCAACGGATCACAATAAAACGTTTAGGTGATGTATCTATTTTGAGGGTCGATTTAACATTTGGCTTTTGTCCAAATATTGGTTGTAAATATTTAGGTGTTTGAGAGAGCTCGCTTCACCACCGCAGACGACTGTAAATATAGGTAATTAATGATCTATAAACGCAGTTAAACACATGCATGAAATATGTTACTAAGAGGCACTTAACAGTACATAGTTGTACAAATAATCATACTTCCCAAAGATTTGATGTTCACATTGTGGAATATTTAACATTTAACCCGGAGGCAATAAATTTGAAATGTTTGTTTGATAAAACTTTACACAGTCGCAATTAACTGAAGCTTGTTGTTTATTGAAATAGCAAAATTTTCAATTAATTTAGTACGAAGATTAACAATTAATATTGTGTTTTTCGGATTTAAATGATATTGAAACTTCAAGTTAAACATAAAATAAAGTTTACTTCAAAAACAGTAGTAGATGTAACTAAAACTCTTATTACGCTTGGAATATCGATGAAAATTGACGTTTCGCATTCTTTACAGTTTTCGTGGTCACGGACGACTACAGTGCTATATGCATTTCAATTCTGTGCTTAACTACTATAACTTTTCTATGACAGAATATTTAATTTTCTCTACTTTTATATTTCATTCAATCTTTGCGGTAATAATAATAATAATAAGACTAGGTAACAGGTGTAAATCGAATTCCCCCATTGAATTAACAAACAAAAGCCACGTATTACTGTCAGCTCCCCGTAAAAGTTGCATCTATCTTAATTTACTCTCTCTCTCTCTCTCTTTATTAGAAATACGATTCTTTCTTGTCACATCGTTCCGTGGAAGTGGGGATCCGACTAAATTTAATTGAATTAACCCTTTTTTTCAGAGTGCTCCATCAACGCCGACCAAGAATTCTCTGGTGAGTGCAGAAATAATATTTAAGATTTTTATAGTCTTACAGAGTCACAATGGTCATTTCCAATTGAAGAAGCAGACGTAATTTGTTAATTAGTAAGCGTTACACGGTGCTTATTGAGCGCTCTGACATTCCTGTTTTTCAATGAAGTTTGAAGATAGTCTTCAGTGGCACGCTCTAGCTTGCCTATGCTCTTGGAATTATCAAGGTCCATACGCGACGATGACGTTACCTTTACGATAATTTCTAAAAGTCATCATGGCTTACAATGTACCGTTATCGGCGTACCCATATCGAGAAATGGGACTAAGTCGATACTTCAATCTCGCAGGCAGTTACCATTTTTTTTATTGAAACTTCTGTAGGTTCCGTTGAGAGTAAAATTTAACTCGCAACAGATTCGTTACGGCTAGAGAGAAAAGATACAATTTAGGAAGAGCGAGAGTGAGAAAATAGACATAGCGTCTCGCGTACCACTCGACCGTGGAGAGAGGGAAAGGACAAGGCGAGCTAGGTCATTTCTCTTATACACAGCATTCCATTCTATTACAAGAGAAATTTAATTTAAGGATGAAAAACTAAGAAAACCAAAATATTACACACCGTAAAAGACTTCATTATTTCACGTGTACCATTTTTCTAAGGAAATATATACAACGCTATATATTAATGTGGTGTAATAAAAATCGAAAACTTAATAATTATGAGTTTTCGTAATTATTACTGGTTAGTTGAGCTTTCTGCACGGATAGGCACCACCATACTGTCTAAGTTTTGAATCGAATCAGTCTTGCATTCCGGTTTTAAATTTGGGCCAACCGTTATTCAATACAATGGAAACGCGGACTTCATATCTCAAAATGGTTGCCGGCATTGAAGTTGTTATCTCTATGGGCTTCACTAACCTCTGAGTACCACGCAGACACACCTCGCTACCTAACTTAGTAACCTTAAAAAGTATTAAAGTAAGCACTGTTTTTACATATCTTAGAACAGCGAAAACAATCTGCTTTGTTTTCGCAGGTCGATTTTACTAGCTCGAAAATGGTAGTCTTTGGAGATTATATGGTCTAAACCTAGATGTTGTAAACCAAAGTAATGGTATTATAGTAAATAAACATAATATATAGTATTATAAAAAAGTATTAAAAATGCTAAATTCAAACGCTTTTTTATCGTTAAGGCTACAACTGGTATTATAGTAAAGAAACTGCTAGAGAACGAACGGGGCAATGGCGACCGAGCAATGGCGGTATAACCATACACACCCGTCAGGACAACCTGTACGGAAGAGGCGTCAGAAACCTTGGGGATCAAATACCCCCTAAAATGCTGGTGCAGAAGGCAACGGGAAACCACTGCACTAATTACCCACGAGAGTTATGAGTAGGTCGTATCCGACTGATGCATGACCACGACCACTCTGTCAAGAGTGTACGAATAGGAAGTGAAGTGAAGAACAGCGAACATTCGAAATGTTTGAATTAGAAAAACGAATGCGATTCGAATAGTAAACAGAAAAAATAATTGTATGATTAAATGAAAGAAGAATGCAGTTTGAGAAATCCTTGCGGTTAGAAGTCTCATGCAAAGAATTCCGGACTCGGAGAGAATGCGAGCGCTGAAACAAATTAAACCGGGTACACGCTTAAAATATTCAATGCGTTGTGAATAGCTAGAAGAAAAGGTCAACTCCTCATGAAATATTTTTTTCAAACACTGGAGTTTATTACACAAAATTGAGATTCAATTGAAAATAATTCCTTTTTTGAATTTAGAAGGTGTTCAAGCTCATGACTCTATGGCCATGGTCACCGGAGCCTTTAGATCTCACGACTTAAATACTGCTACCCGTCTTTAAGCATGACGTCAAAATTTCAATTCCATTCTACAACATCTATCCCGCGCTTAAAATCTAAATCCATGACTGAACCATGACAATACGCCAGTTATAACACTAATAATGATATTCAATTATGTTCACAAAGTAGTTCAGAGAATAACATCAACGTATTTACTAAATTGAACAATGCCATCACGGCGATATGTGTTACATAAATCAACTGATCCCAGAAGCTCGTGTATCGTAATTTATTAGTAGGATCGGTGTTTTTCATCGTTGCCCTGATATAAGCCAATAACTCCTTATCAGCGCACTGTTTGAATGAATGAGATAAACTCTCGTAAATAATTATTTACAGGCGAATCCTAATTCGTCAAATAATCCATTCCCTGTATGCTAATATTGAGAATACCGGGCAAGGACACAAAAACTAAAAAACCTATTATTTGTGTAATTCGCATCCACCAGATAACGTACCTCTGATGAGTTTTGAATAATATCTTGTTTTATTTTAAGAGTATTATTAAATAAATAAATAGAACCCTATAATAATTTTCAATATTATTTATCCATATTTTTACTAACTATGTTTTTCTTATATCATTAAAAATTAAGTAATAAATTTGATTAAGCCGTGGATCGTTGAATACGGAAGCCGATTTCAAACATGACCAGACAAAGGCGTGAAATAAAGACAAAATGGCTCAATCAATGAAATGCCTCAGTTTTCCTTGTCGATTAACGAGGCAGCCTTTCAGATCGATGGTGATTTTTCAGAAAAGGCGCAAACGAACGAAAACGTAGCATATATAATTATTATTTCCTTACATTATAAGTTAGATTAGTTCTTGTTATTTTGTTGTTTTGTCGTATAGTTGTAAGGAACATTGTGTATAAATTCAGCACTTTGTCTTGTTTGGCCGTGCGCACATAACTTATGTTGCAAGCCAGATTTTGTTTCTTTTTACTTGTGCTGTTATCTATCTTTTTAGCTTGTGATGTGTATTGTGTGCCTAATAAATAAATAAAAAATTAAATATAGTTATATGGCGATTATCACTTTCACTTATTTATAGATCTATTTTGAATAATTCTCAGAAATTTGATTTGTAAATCGCTCAGTTGTTTTCGCATCAAATTCAAATTTAGCCAAATCTGAAGGCCAAGATTAATTTCCAATACTTCAAATTGTCCGACCGAGTGACTTGCTTGATGAAATAATATATTACCGAGCCGTCGGTCGTTACCACGGTAAATGAAAGAATCATTAGTTCTCGAATCTGGTGACGACATAATATTGCCCATAGAGCACGGTTTCACTATACTTGACATCGCAATGTGTCAACTAAAGTCTAGTACTAAATTACGAATTTGCCACTATTGACACTTGGGTTAATTTCTAAAATTTATTTCCGTTTAGTCTGTTCTAGAATACTGGTTTTAGGACGTCTTGTGAGTCCGCACGGGTAGGTTCCACTGCCCTGCCTATTTCTGTGAAGCACTAATGCGTTTCGGTTTGAAGGGTGGGGCAGCTGTTGTACTGAAACCTTAGAACTCATATCTGAAGGTGGGTGGGGCATTTGCGTTTTAGATGTCTATGGGCTCCGGTAACCACTTAACACCAGGTGGGCTGTGAGCTCGTCCACCCATCTAAGCAATTAAAAAAAGTGATTATATAAAAATTATTATTAAAGGTCAAACACAACTTTTGTGTAAAGATTTTAAGTTTTACGATTCGAATTTATTAACAATATTAAAAATTGCCGGCCACCGTGCGGAGGTCATCGCACCATCTAGCCAGGGGGCAAGATGTGGATGAGGAGAGCCGCAGACCGGGCTCAGTGGTGTAGATTGGGAGAGGCCTATGTCCAGCAGTGGACGACTGTGGGCTGTTGATGATGATGATGATGATGATGATGATTAAAAATTGAAAATATGTTTGTTAGTTTGAATTTGTTACATGTAGAAAAAAAATAGAAGTATTATTTACTTACGTACTTTAAAATTAAATATATTCTTCGTGAGACAACGGAAACACCCATTATATAAAAAGCAAGTCTTAGAAATAATCTACATATTATCTAGTGTAAAAAACTGACTACCACATAAAAGATAAAGATAAAGAAGCCTTTATTAACAACCTTAATTTATATTTAGGTACATTTTTCTTTTCATTTGACATCGGCTAAGATTGATTTGCTTTCGCATAGGCCTCCCCCAAATCCTGCCATAAGTTCCGGTCGTGGCATTTCCTCTTCCACGTAGAGCCTGCAACGGCTTTTATATCGTCTACCCACCTTTGGAACGGTCGTCCTTTTAATCTTTTCCCCTCTCGAAAAGACTACCACATAGAAGCACATTAAATATTTACCCCAAATTCCAAGTATTCTGAACATTCCGGATTAGATACAAAATACATTTGGTAATTTGAGGTAAATAAATTTCCGTGCAATAATATAGAGAAACACTCCGGTGCGCCTTTACGTGTGATCGAACAATTACGTAGGTAGTTAATTTCACACAAAATATTCAAATCCATGACTTTGCCGTCAAAAATATTTATATGTGGAAAAGCGTGCGTTACCATTTTTGAAATACTTATGCCCTCTGTTTTTCAGATATTGGTCTGTTGAGTTTGCATTTATTATTAAAATAAATAAATATTTTACTAACAGTCACGCCAGGTTAACTGGTCCCGTGATAAGTTCGTAAAGAACTTGTGTTACTGGTACCAGATAACGGAAATAAATATAAGATTTTTATTATACACATACACATATTTAATATACATCCATAACCCTGGAAAAGACATTTATATTTATCATACAAATACCTTCCCTTGGCGGGATTCGAACCCGCGACCCCCTTGTGTAGTGACCATGTCACTTACCACTACACCAGACGGCCGTTTAGATTTGCAGATCGTAATATTTAAGTTATTTCTTTGCTTACTTGCCTTACTTACTTAGGTAAATTTACACAAAGAATAAGCTTATTACTGGATATAAAATAAAATCCTTTTTTTCCAATGGCTGTACAAACAATTTAGTTCCTTTATCTTGCATACGTGAGTTGCTTCAACAAAGTATATCAGGCCATTTATCATCACCAATGTGTGATGTAGAATGTAGACTTCATAATGTACTAGACAGTGCTAAGC